GAGGCAAAATCCATATATATGAAGGCTAACAGGATTGATAACCAGTAATATTTCCACAGAATTACCAACCAAAATAATACAAATACTAATAAAATTACTGATGCACACATGAATTTCCAAGGGAAACTTGAAAATTTTGGCTGTCTATTCTTTTTAGAACAATTTGGTGAATATATCTATAAAAGTAACAATCTGTTCAGTAGCTTATATATTCTTCTTACCTAATTCATACTGGAACCATTTTTTATATATGAAACCTAACAATAGTTTGGTGTGGTCATCAACTATTTGGATATAAGTCTGGTGATGAAGAGTAGGCAACAAATAGAAATGGTGATGCTTTTTATTACACAAATGATAAAAGGTCATGAAAATAGCCTAGTAAACTAAAATGACATTATATCAAATGCTTCCAGGGTTTTTCCTTTATATGATTGCATGCTTTCAATTGAACTAGTAACTAAATTGGACCCTTGTCTCCTTTACCTTGTCTCCTTCTCCATGAATTGGGGAGCACAGCAAATACAATCCATAATAGGCCAGTTCTGGTATGTACTTTGCTCGATTAAGGTTTCTAAAGAAAAAAGGCCAAAGATTAGTTAATAAATATGATTTTACTTGGAATATTCCCTTAACTATAGAAGCCACAATTAAATGAATAAATTCCACCTGTGTACCAATTAAGATAAAATGGCATTTATACTTCTGCTGGAGCAAAATTTATTATCCTATATTTAAATTTTAGCATTGGAAGATTTAATGGCTCACCTGGCTTGTGTAACATGAAATTCACGAGGAACTGGCTCAAAATTAGTTAATGCCACAAAGACCTAGAAAACAGACACCAAGAAAAGGCCTGATTTTTTTCCTATTCATTAAGTACTAGCCATCGTCTGTGCTTTTTGAGGTTGCCCCAAGTTTCTTAGAATTTTTACTTACCTCTATACAATTCTGTACACACTGTGGCTTTTCTTTCAGTGAAAACTTGGACAGAAGCCTTAAAAAATTCTTCAAAAGGTGAAAGATGGCATTTCGAATTTGACAAAGGTCCCAGGCAGAAAAACAAATATTCTCTTCATCTTCTTGTTCTTCTATAATTTCATCCATCTAGATTATGAGGAAATGCATAGGTGACAGCATAATAATGCCTAACACTTTGTCCCATATGATTTTCAATTTACTCAAATGAATCCAGTGAAATTCCAGGGGGTTGCTGAGTTGATAAGGTGACATGACTCTGACCAGGTCCCTTGACTGCTCTATGTCTCCACACCACAACAGTAAATCATTGGACTAGGTGACTGCTACAAGTTTTGAGCTCCGTATTTTTGTGTCAATGAGAATTCTTATGTTTCTTAGAAATTCTCACATCAATGAACCCCTACCATCCTACCTAGTCACAAAAGAATCGAGAATTTATGTTATTCTTACACCCTTATGGACCTGAGTCCTCAGGACACTTCAACAACCCTCTCTATTGACGATGAGATAATGTGGCAAATATACCTGTTAGCAAGTTGTCAAGCAAACCTGGGGCGAGATGATGGGGAGGTTGGAAAGATGGCAAGGTAGAAATGTACTCTCAGTGGTATGTGAAGCCCAAGATGCAACCTAGTCTATCAGAGAGCTGATAATACTTTGGGACCTTTTGGTTATAATCATTATGCCTGAAATCATATTTTAATGTAAAGTTAATTCTTAAATCAAAATCACATGTTAGTACAGATTTTTATTGTTCCACTTACTTCTTACCTCAATATCATCTTTCCTGGGTGGCTTTCCTCTTTTTCTATGCCCTCTTGAATCAGCCTGTGAGTTCTTAGGCTGTTCTTTCTTCCTTTTCCGACTCAAGTTAGATTCCTGAGGCCAGCTCTTCTTTAGAATCTGTATACATTTGTCAAACATCACTGGGTGGAATACTTGATTGGCTACACTGCCTATTCATAAAGAATAAAGAGTAAGCAGGTTAGATTTAATTGTTTTGAAATATGCGAGTAACAACAGATAAAAAATTTAAAAAGAGAAAACAAGCTTTTCATTAACTTTGAATAACAATGACCCTTTCACAAAAANAGATTCCTTATCCCTTCCACAAGGTTCCAACGCAGAGGCCCAGACCACATGAACCAGATGAGCTAAGAAGTGCTTTATTTTGAGCCCTCAAACCACAAACAGGCTAGAAATTTGTTAGTTTGCATTGGTGTCAGAAATCTTGGTTAGTACAGAGCCAAGAAGACGAAGGGAGAGTGATAAAGAGAGTAAAAATCCAAGCTGCGTGTGTTTTACCTGATGAACCGGACTGCCTGGTTTCTACTATTGATGACTGGTGAAGTAATAGCAAGGGGGGCACGATGGGATCCTTCACCTACTTCTAACATTAATATTACATTTAGCATTTGATGGAAAACACAACCGATAACCTAGAAGAGAAAAGAAAATTCAGTTTAAGGCATAACAGAGAATTCTCAAAGTCCACAGAAAACCATTTCAAGTGTCTGAAGATAAGTCAGGTTGATATCGTTTTGGGCTGAACATTGGGGATGCATTTCTTAGACAATTCCCAGGTATTCAATAAATATACAATGTAAACTGTGAAAACATTCCTTAGAGATAACAATAGGAATATCATCCAGTTTCTCTCCCTACCCTCTCATATTGTAGCTTAGCAATTAGGGCAAAAACAGAATTAGTTGTCACTTATAAATGGCAATGAATGCTACTGATAATCCTTTATAGAAAAAGCAGAAAAAGAATATTACTTCACACTTGTATTTTACCTGAAGTTTACAAAGCACCTTCTAATAAACTATCGAATTTACTCAGCTAATTCATTCACTCACCCAAATAAAACATTTACTAAAAACCAAATATGTGGCAGGTATTAATTACATTAAGCACATTCATGTATATTACTAAATTTTACTATATTTATCTAAAACCTCATAACAACTCCATGAAGTAAGCAAGGGATTTCCATTTTATGCATATTATTATTATTATTATTATTATTATTATT